CTTATCATTCGCTACAACAATTATTGTCCATGTGTTTATTGACCAACGTGAAAGGCGTTTTATAAATGTAATTTTGTTGTTGTTGTTGATAACACGCAGCTCCATCTCTTCAGTAAACTCCATGATTCTGGGATTATTTTTATTCTGCCTGACTCCCTGTCCTGGACCAGCCATAATTTTCTGCAGCTCAACATTGAAGTTTCATTTGCAATATTCACAAATCAGATTTGATGCTCTAATTGCAACTTCCAGTTTTAAATTTCAAAATTGTTGAACTTGTGGTATTCATCAAGTGACCAACATTTAATCCTGAAATCCAGCAAAGCCTGTACAAAGGCCAGAGAGCAAATTCCTTGAGAATTTAGTACCCGGGTCCAAGGTTTGAAGTGCATTGGAAGAAAGAATAGACATACATGGGTGGACATATATTGGTGGAGTGTGAAACTGCAAAATAAATTACACAGAAGATTACAACATGAACACCTGCCCTCCATAGCAATTGACAATTTCATGGAGATAAAAGTCTGCAAAGGAAAGAAACGGATAAGATGGAAAGAGAAAAAATAATTAAATAAGCATGTCAATTGTGGCAGATTCATAACCTTAAACAAATCTTGCTGTGGAATCAATCAGGGAAGGGCCTTTCCCTGTTAAATATATTCCATATTCTCCCCTTCTCTTGCTGTGTCACAGTACAGAGGATGTGCAAAGGAGAATACCTTAGGTGTTTTTCTATTCAGTTTTCTTCCGTCCCTGTGGAAAAGCAGTGGCTTCTTGGCCTCTTTCTAATGTCTCCCCTGACACTGCAGTTAAGATCAGGAACTTGTGTGTGAATTTGTTTCAGAAGCTCACTTTCTACCCGTCACATGGCAAAATGCGGTCATTCAGTTCTTTGAAATTGTGCAGCTACTGTTTAGGAACAAATTCTAGCTTTGTTCTGATTTATGGGTGGAACAAGGCACAGCATTATGGATTGGAAAAACTGTTTATGCCTGTGATCTCCCCCACATTGTAAAAATGCCATTTTCAATTGTTCCACTCTGGGGACATACCAAATGTAAACTCACTTCAGTAAAAGATTACCTTATTTTCCAAGGTATAGGTTAAGTACTTCCACAAATATCTGTAATGGTATCACACTACTCATGACAAAACAGACATAGATTGAAGCTGTCCAGACCGATGCTAATGTTAGGATAGGCTTTGAACTCATCTGATACAGAACAGTTTCAATGCACAGAAGCCTTATTCTGGTTTTGAACAAATTGCTACATTTACCACGAGGAAGGGATTAGAGAACAGAATGTAACAGGAATGTACCCTAATCAACAAACATGCTACTTTATTGGTAATTTTGCTTTATTTTTGTCTGTTTTACATTTCATGACTTAAAATGACTTAAAATTTTATTGACTTAAAGAGCAGTTAACTCCAAAGGTAAGTAAGATTTTTGAGAAATATCTCCGAACCCTCTTAAACGTGGATTTATGATAATTCTGAGTAAAGTGGGCAGACTGGATTGTGTTAAAGCAAGGACTCACCTACAACAACAACAAAATTACATTTACAGAGCACCTTTCACGTCGGGAGGACGTCCCAAAGCGCTGAACACCTAGTCCTGTGTTTAGTCTCTCTGTGGACTAATTATGTGGCATGTCTCTTGTATTTGTTACTCAGTGAAAAGAGACAGCCAGCTCACCATAGATCTCCAAAATAACAACAATCTTGAAAATAAAACTGGTCATTCACTTCATGGCTGTTTGTGGGACATTGCTGTGCACAAATTGGCTGTTACCTACAAGGTACACAGTCACTACACTCCTGTGAAACACATTGAGACGTCCTCCCGATGTGAAAGGCGGGTTTTATGTCAAATGCAAGAAATTTATATGTAATACAGTAGAGAAATGTACAGTATTTCAAGAGTTCCAAACGCTCTCTCGTTTGACTCCAGCATTTCAGCAAGTGAATGTAAAGGTCCTCTTGAACTTTCAATAGTAACTAAAAATAAACATATTTCAATGGTAACTATAAATAAAATCTTCAAAATAAAACATGAATGGAGCTGTAGGGAGTCAGCACAAAGGTCTTTCATCCTTTACACTTAGCTTTGAATTGAGTCGATACTGATGGGAGTCTCCAGGCCATAAGCAATCTCAACTTGCTTTATTAATGAATGTTGACTACAGGTACAAAAATCACCTAATTTGGTATTAAATTGGCAAACTGACTCAAAGAAGTTAAAAGGATGACTAGTGGAAGAAATTTGTTACACTTGTGCAGCCAATGTTGGGGCAATGCCACATGTTGTGGAAGCTTAGAGCGATCTACCAGGCTACATTTGACACGCAAGTCCTGAATGCTGACTCATACCACCTCAAACAGGTTTTGTTCAGCTAACATCCCTTACCCTGAGAAGTACAAACATTCAATAAAGATATACTTTTAGATACAATATAAAATAAAAGAGAGATGCTCAATAATAATAACCCTTGCATTTGATATAGCGCCTTACTACATCATTGAGATGCCCGAAAGCGCTTCACAGGATTTATTGCAAAGTGGAATTGACTGTATTTTGTGGGCGAATGCGGCAGCCAGTTTGTACACAGCGGGATCTCACAAACAGCCGATGGTAAGTATTTATTAGCGATGGTACATAGCCATAGAGTCAAAGAACGGTTTTGTACATTAAGCTCAGAGCTCTAGGTTTACTGAGATGTCCTAAAACAACAAAATCAACCCAGAATATTCAGTTTGGACCACTGATGTTTCTTCATGCAAGTTTTACCAAGGAAGTCTGTAAAGCAATTGAATTTTATTGGGGGTTAAATACCTACCCACAAAAACACCTAAACACGGGAGAAAATGTTTACTAGGTCTGTCCAACTATAGTTCACGTGTCACCAAACCATACATCCAGCTGTTCAGTAAACGGTATGTAAGGAATCCAATTTGGTCAATCTCCTTCGACCACACCGACCCAGCCATTCCCTTCGCTTAGTGAGCAATGGCCTGCTAGTTGTCCCCCACTTATCTGCCCTACCATCGGTGGGTGGGCTTTCAGCCATTCTGCCCCCACCTTCTGGAACTCCATCTTAAGAGTCCCTCCAACTCCCTTCCTCTTTCAAGACATATCTCAAAATCTACCAACTTCAGAACTTCTTGTAGAGCAACTCACTCCCCTGACTTTCTTTTCAAGATCATAGATAAAAAGTGAATTATGAGTGAATTCTGAATTTTGTAGTGCAGTACTTCATCTAACACATTAAAACTACAGGGCACTTCTCAAAACGAATGAACCTTGCCTCTAGCACATGACCTTTTTTTTCTAATCCGCAAAACTCATTGTATCACCAGTCTCTTACACCAGCCTGGTGCAAATATAATATCTTACTTTGGAATCCAGGCAACCAATGAAGTCCCAACAAGGCGAGCATTTATTTTAAGAGATGATCAGAGCAACAAACTATTGTAAATCAAAATCTGTGGGTTTAGTGTGTTAAGTGAAATCCTGCACTCCAAATTATAGACTTATCACACTCCTCTAATGTCCACTTGTTTCACATCTGGAAGTGTTCACGTCACCAATCTCCTTGGCAGGTTAATCTATTTATACTATTTGCATTCAATCCATTGCATTGTTTGTAGTATTGTCTAACAAACTCAGCACTTCCTTGAGTTACCTATAACATCTCCAAAAATCCGTGTCTCCTACAACTGATGTACAGTACTTTGATCTAAGACACCCAAGTTATCACAAACCGAGGTATACCACGCAGCTGAATTGTACAGTGGGGAGAGGTCCCACCGCCCAACTTTGCTCGGTAAAACCTGTTGAAAAGAGACGGTCAGGGTGTACTTTATTTAATCCCCTGATCAAGGAAAAATATGCATTCTCAGTAGGGAGTGAGCGGGAGGTGGGCTGATGATGAGTGACTTGGAATGCAATGAAGTCGGTCGGTGGGCTGCAATAATAATAATAATAATAATAATAATAATAATCCTTGCATTTGATACAGCAAGGCACTGGGTTCGCCTGGCAGCCACTGGAGCTGGTTAAAGCCCCACAGCAACCCACAGTCTCCCTTATCCCTGTGGTTTGCTGTACTTCCGCTCTTGTCTCTGTCTCTGCTGAGCGAGACACGCTTCCGAGGCGCAGACACACGCCCACCCCCGTCCAGCCCCCGACCCCCAGCCCCCAGCCCCCAGCCCAGCAGCACCGAGAGGGTGAAAAGCAACCCAGCGACAAGGTAAATACAGGCAAAGGGGGCTTTTTAAATGCAGATCAGCAGCCGTCAGGTTGTTCTCTCCCCCCACACACACACACACACACACACACACACTAGACTGACTATGCACCACTTTTGTTCTTACTGTGAAATAATGCAAAGTGTCCACAGTGCAAACTGCGAGGTTTTATTATTGTTGCGAGATTTGTTACTGTCTCTCTTTCTTTCTCTCTCTCTCTCTCTCTCTCTCGTCCACCACGAGAGGAGGAGAGGAGAGGAGGAGGAGGAGGAGGAGGCAACAGCAGCTCCGGCTCCAGGTCCTGCTGACGGCGCTGGGAGCTGGGGAGGGGGGGAGGGAGGGGGAGAGGGAGAGGGGGAGTGACGAGATCTCTATCTCCCTGTGAGGGAGTGAGTGAGGGAGTGAGTGTCAGTCAGTCAGTGTCTCGGCGCTGTGAGGGTTACACTCCCATCAGATGGGACTCACTCTTCACTGACATTGAACCTCTCACTCACTCTCTCTCTCTCTCTCTCCGCACTCTGTCTGTCTGTGTCTGTGCTCAGGTACAGATCCCCAGCCTTTGTTTTTAATATATATATATAAAATCTATAAACACACACACACACACACACACATATATATATATATACACATAAACTCTACCCGATTTGTTGGTCAGGAAGCAAAACAGCAGATCTTGGGATTTATGTTTGTGGTGTGAGGGAGGGGGAGGGGGAGGGGGGCAGTGTGGGGGTGTGGGGGGGGTCACTATTGATTGTTTTGTGTTGGTGTGTAGTGAGGGAGAGGGAGAGAGAGGGCAGTGCACAGACAGAGAGAGTTGCCGGAGTGTGAGAGCGAGTGCAGGCGGTGGAGATGTCGGATGACGACTCGAGGGCCAGCACCAGCTCCTCGTCTTCTTCTTCCTCCTCCTCCTCCTCCTCCTCCTCTTCTTCTTCTTCTTCAAGTTCCTTGCAAGCGGTGGGGAAGCAGAGCAGCGCCGCCGCCGCCATCACCACCCCCACCGCCCACCCCCACACCAACAGCCACCACCACCACCACCACCACCAGCAGCAGCAGCACAACAACAACAACAACAGCGGCGGCGGCGGCATCGCCGGCGGCACCATCACTGCTACGGGCGGCGGCAGCGACAGCAACAACAGCAACAACAGCGGCGGCGGCGGCGGCGGCAACAAGAGGAAAAGAGAAGCCAAGAGCACCATGAGCAAGAACCCCAAACTGCTCACCACCAGCGCCAAGAGGTGAGAGGGGGAGACTCCGAGCAACACTCCTCACACAGCTGATGTCCCTGTGTCTCCCCTCTCTCTCTCTCTCTCTCTCTATCCCCTCTCTCTCTTTCTCTCTCTCTCCTCCTGTCCCTCTCTCTCTCTCTCTCTATCCCCTCTCTCTCTCTCTCTCCCCTCCCTCCCTCCCTCCATTCCCTCTCTCTCTCTCTCTCTCTCTCCTCCTGTCCCTCTCTCTCTCTCTCTATCCCCTCTCTCCTCCTGTCCCTCTCTCTCTCTCTCTATCCCCTCACTCTCTCTCTCTCCCTCCCTCCCTCCCTCCATTCCCTCTCTCTCTCTCTCTCTCCTCCTGTCCCTCTCTCTATCTCTATCCCCTCTCTCTCTCCATCCCCCCTCTCTCTTTCTCTCCCTCCCTCCATCCCCCCTCTCCCTGTCCCCCCCCTCTCTCTCTCTCTCCCTCCATCCCCCCTCTCCCTGTCCCCCCCTCTCTCTCTCTCCCTCCCTCCATCCCCCCTCTCCCTGTCCCCCCCTCTCTCTCTCTCTCCCTCCCTCCATCACACCCCCTCTCCCTGTCCCCCCCTCTCTCTCTCTCTCCTCCCTCCATCCCCCCTCTCCCTGTCCCCCCCCCCCCCCCTCTCTCTCTCTCTCTCTGCCCCTGTGTCCGAGTTTGTTTAATGGCCAACAGAGAGGAGAGAGAGAGAGGAGAGAGAGAGACAGAGCTCACGGCTCATTTGCATATTAGCTAAAATGGCTTTACCCCCCACACCCCCCACCCCCACCGCCAGCCCAGGGCTGTCGGCCCCGCTCTGTGGGGGCTCGGGCTGTGGTTTGGGGGGTGGGGGGGGTTGTGTGTGTGTGTGTGTGTGGGGGGGGAGTGGGGATGGGACTGTGTGTGTGTGTGTGAGAGCTGCTGGAGCAGAGCAGTGAGGAGGGCGGCCATGTTTTTCCTCTCAGCCAGAGGTCAGACTGCTCTGCTTTCAAATGTGTGTCTGTATAAATATATATGTGTATATATATATATATATGTGTAAATTTATGTATATATATATATTTTTGACTTTCATTTAAAGTAACTCGAGCTTTTAAATCGCCAGAGATTGTGTCAGGATGCTGCTCTCTGACTTCACACACACTCTCTCTCTCTCTCACTATATATATTATATATATATTATATATTATGTATGTATGTATTTGACAGGATCCAGAAGGAGTTGGCTGATATCACGTTGGATCCGCCGCCGAACTGCAGGTTTGTTGATTTTTTTTTCGAAAAAACAACAAAACGAGAGAGAAATAATCAATAAAATGGAATTGTTTGGTTTAAGAGCACCCCTTAAAGGCAAAGGGTGAGCTCCTGGGGGCGGCGGTTTGGCCGACGGGGGGAAAAAAACACCCCAACCCACCGCCGCACTGTTGGGAGCAATGCAAAAGGGGGCTGGAGGCTGGGGGGGGCTGGGGGTGGGGGGGCTGGAGGGGCTGGGGGGCGGGGGCTGGAGGCTGGGGGCTGGAATGGGAAATTTGGGATTGGAACCAATTCGTGAATTTTCGAACAAAACTGTTGTGGCCCAGCACTGAACTTTTCCTTCGTTATTCCCAAGGGAGGGTACATGTGCCTATGAAGCTCATGGTGTTCAGTATTCCTGGTGTTTTCCATGCTGGAAATAGTGATGGATGTGCTGATGCTGATGTAAAACGTGTTGCTGATGATCAGTGGGATATTGTAAAAGTTCCTTTGAGTGTCTCAGTATTCAGGTGTGAGTGAACAGGTTCCTTATCTTTGACACCAATGGTGAGTGGTTTGATACTGGTCTGAAGTGATTTTTAAGCCATTCTTTGAAGCAGTTCTGGGTCCAGATTGTGATCCCAAATTGGCTGTAAATTGTGGCCGAGTATTGATTATTTGCATTTTAGGAATAAAGAGCTGATTAGTACACGAACCCACGTAATTATAGAAGCTTCAAAGGTTGTGTAATTTTGTTTGTATTTTCGTCCTTTAGCATGTCTGCAGTTACATTAATTTTGCAACAATTGCTCACAACATTGTCCTGGCAAAAAATGTTGAAATCACATTGGAATTTCAGGTACACTGAAGGCAAGTTTATGTAATCCAAGTGAATGTTAGGAAACTAGCTCGGAATTTAATAAGATTCAACTGCGAATACATAATTTAATAACACAGTACATTACAATCTTCTTTTGCAGCAGGATTGTTTCAAACAAATTCTAGGGTTAAACTATCATTAATAACAATTCTGTGCTGTCGTTCATACCACATGATTGCTGTGTTAATGGGAACCTCAGCACCAAGCATGCATATATTTATCAGAAATCTATGTCCAATGGCTTTGAAGAACAAGCAGTCTCAACTTGTGGTGTATTTGATCTTGAGCTGATTGAACTTTGCAAGCCTTGTTGAAACTTTATTGCAGCCTACATCACTCATTGAGAAATAACTTCATAGAAATAACTGTTACTTTTATTTCCCATTTATTTCCTCCAAAATGCACAGACATTTTGAAATAATGTTCTTGTGCCCTTCTGGGGGTAATTTGGGGGAAGGATTTTTTTTCAGAATCACGGTGACAGGCGTTTGTTAGTTGTCAAGACAAGGAGAAATAATATTACTTGCATTTGATACAGCGCCTTTTCATGTCAGGAGGATGTCTCAAAGCACTTCACAGGATATACTGTAAATTGGAATAAATGTGTATTTTTTAGGTGAACATGCAGCAAATTTGCACACAGCAAAGTCCCACAAACAGCCATGAAGTGAGTGACCAGTTTTTTGGGGAGGGTTTTGTTGGCCAGGACACAAGGAAATACTCCCTTCTCTTTTTGAATCGTGACATGGGATCTGTATCGTCCACCTGAACTTGAACTGACAGACAGGGCTTCAGTTTAACAAACATCTGATCCACAGGACAGTCTGTCAGAATCTTTTTCCTGGTTCAAGGAATGGAAGCAGCGTAATCCTCCTGGCTGGGTGGCTTTCCAGGATGGTAGCACAATCTCTCTGGTCTTGATAATCCTTTTAATTGACAAGTACGGTTGAATCTTTTTGCTCGTCATCCAAATGATAATGGCAAGTGTGCTGCAAACACCATAGCTTCTGCAGCATATGTCTGGAGAAGGTTCTAACCGTGCACATTTGTTAAGGTTTTTAGTTGTTTGTGATGCAGCCAGTTACTAGAAGCTGTACAACAATAACAAACAACAAATTCCGTTTGTATAGCACCTTTCACATCAAGAGGGTGTCCCAAGGTGCTGGATAGTCAGGGATCTGCACCGGAGCTGGTGGTTGGGATCAAGAGGCTTAGAAGGCTGGGAGGGTAAGGGTAGGAGGGTGACCGAAGGCACGGTCAAAGAGGAGGGTCTTGAGATGGATCTTGAAGGAAGCAAGGGAGGGGGCGAGGCGAAAGGACTGTGGGATGGAGTTCCAGAGTGGGGACAGAGAGGGTTGTATTGATTTCTATCACATACTTTTTTATTGTGGGCTTTGCTGGACAAATTGTATTTTGGGATAAAAATCATTAAGTCTTGACGTCTTCTAGTTGTTAGTTTGGCTCAGTCTGAGTGTATTTTTTCTAGTATTTTGGCCAACAATGGCCTCCAAATAAATTGGTTATTTGTCTCGTGGCTATTTGTGGGCCGAGGTGTGTCAACAAAATTAGTCACTACACTTGAGAATAAATGCTCCAAAGCACTTTGATGTAAGGTGCTATAAAAATGCAAGTTCTTTCTTCTAGTTAATTACTTTATTACCACCACTGTCTCGCCCCTCAGGCTGCCGAAACCCTCACACGCATTCGTCACCTCAAGGATCGACTACGGAAACTGCCTCCTTGTCGGCCTCCCCAACTCTTCCCTCCACAAGCTGCAGATCATGCAGAATTCTGCAGCTCATGTCTTCTCCCACACCAGGCACCGTGACCCCATCACCCCCACCCTCACCCGGTTCCATTGGCTCCCCATCCCTCAGAATAGAACTCAAAATCCTTGTCCTCGCTTTCAAGGTCCTCCATGGCTTTGCCCCTTCCTACCTCTCTGACCTGCTAAACTCCTATCAACCTGTCCACTCCCTCCGCCCAGCAGGCTCCAACCCGCCCTACCATCGGCGGACAGGGATTTCAGCCCTTTGGAATTCCATTCCACAATCCCTTTGCCTTGTTCCCTCCCTTACCTCCTTCAAGGCATGACTCAAGACCCTCCTTTTCGACCGTGCCTTCAGCCGCCCTCCTACCTTTCTGCCCTTGCTCAAATATCCTATCCCTCTGGCCTTCCACCCGCGAAGATCCTGAAGCAGCCGTCCAGCTGCTCCATGATCGCCTCTCCTCCGCCTTCAACTCCTTCGTCCCCCTGAAATCCAGGACCATCTCCAAACCCACCCGATCCCCCTGGTACAACAACCATCTCCTCTGCCTAAAAACCCAAACCCGGCTGCTTGAGCGCAAATGGCGGAAAACTGGCCTGACAGTTCACCAGCAACTGTGGCTCGAGCATCGCCACAGCTACCGCCATTCTTTGACACGTGCAAAAACGGCCTTCTACTCCAACATCAACTTGGAGGCTAAACACAACCCTAAAATCCTTTTTTCCACCACCCACTACCTCCTCCGTGACCCCCTCAGTCCTCCTCAATTTTCATATCAAATGCCAAGTGCGAGGAGGTCATGGAGTTCTTTTCATCTAAAATACACAACATCCGCCAGGCAGCCTCATCCACCTGCCTCTTGTCACCCACCACCATGCCCTCTCTGTGCCCCTCACCCTCCCCATCATCTGCTCCTACCACCACCCCCATCCTACACTCCTTCCTCCCTGTGGAGTCCTGTAGCTCAGTGGTTAGAGCACTTGCTTTACAAGTGAGACACCTGGGTTCAATTCCAGGCAGGGCGAAACCTTGGGCAAGTTTCCTTACTCCACACAGAGCCTAATAATAATCCCTCCAAAACAAAACAATAATAAATTGGTCATTTTCAATTCACGATTGTTTGTGGGACACTGCTGTGCGCAATTGGCTGCCGCGTTTCGCCCACAAATATACAGTCAATTCACTTCACAGTCTATTCTGTGAAGCGCTTTGAGACGTCTAGAAGACGTGAAAAGCGCTATATCAAATGCAAGATTTATTATTATTATCTCTCCCTCCTTCCTCTCACCCACCATCACCTCCATGAAACCCACCACCCGCTGCCTTGACCCCACTCCCCACCAACTTGCTGGTCACCCAGCTCCCCCTCCTCTGCCCACTACTGGCTGATGTCATGAACCAGTCCCTCCCTCCAGATCAGTCTCTGCCCCCCTCAAAACTGCTGTCATCACCCCCCTCCTCAAAGCACCTTCCCTGGATCCCTCAAACCCCAGCCACTACCGCCCCATTTCTAACCTGCCCTTCCTCGCAAAAGTTCAAGAACGCGTTGTTGCCCATCAACTCCGCGCATACCTCTTCTCCCACTCCCTCTTCGAACCCCTCCAGTCTGGTTTCCGTCCTGCCCACAGTACAGAGATTGCGCTAGTGGAAGTCACAAATGACATCCTCTCTATCTGTGACCAGGGCTTCCTCTGCCTCCTTGTCCTCCTGGATCTCTCCGCCGCGTTCGACAGAGTCGATCACTCATTCTCCTCCACCGCCTCCTCTGTCATCCACCTCAGTGGGACTGCACTCGCTTGGTTTGAGTCCTACCTCACAAACTGTCAGCAGTACATCTGCATAAACGGCTTCTCCCTCTCTCATCCGGTCACCTGCGGGGTATCCCAAGGATCCATCCTTGGCCCCCTCCTCTTTCTGATCTACATGCTCCCTCTTGGGGATGTCATCCGCAGACATGGGGTACATTTCCACATGTATTCGGACGACACCCAACTCTATTTTTCCACCTCTCTTTGCAATCACCAGTCCCCTGATGTTCTGTCAGCCTGCCTGTCAGACCTCAGGGGCTGGATGAGCGCAAATTTCCTTCAGCTGAACGTTGACAAGACGGAAGCCATACTCTTTGGCTCTCGTCAACGTCTAAAATCTCACAGTTCTCACCTCCTCCACCTACCCGACCTCCCCCTAAAACTCTCCAAACCCATACGCTACCTAGCTGTCAACTTCGACCCCCAATTATCCTTCCTCTCCCACTCCGGTCCCTCACCAGCACCGCTTTCTTTCACCTCCGATGCATCGCCCGTCTCCGCCAATACCTCTCTCCGATAGCCGCTGAAACCCTGGTCCATGCCTTGGTCACCTCTCGGCTGGACTGTTGA